AAATCGACAAGTAATTATATATAATCAACAAAAGAATAGAATAGAGAAATAAATCATTTAATTTATAGTGATGATTTAAAATAATTACAAATAACAAAATAATAAGAATATTTAAAATAATTAATAATAAAATAAATAATGATAAATGATGAATAATAATAAATGAAAATATACCAGAAGAAATAAAAAATAACACACAAATAAGTAATACCAAACAATATAAATATCTATGAATAGAAATAGTGAATAAATTAAAGAAAGAAAGATAAAGGAGAAGAATAATTAATACAAACAAAAGGGTAATAAATGAAAAAAAATGAAATAATGTATATGAAACACAAAAATGATATGTCTAAATTAATACCTTGATGTTGCTATTCTTAAGAAATCAACCAAAATAGTCTTTATTGAAATAGATTCTTTGATAATGTTGCAATTATGTCATGATAAGTAATAACTTTTTTCTTTAGCTCTCTTATTTTTAATTAAATTATTTTTATAATACGATAAACTTCTTCACTAACTTTTTTTTTTACAAAATATGTTATTTATTGCTTGAATTTATAAAAGTCTTCAGTTAAAAAGGAAATATAATTTCTAAATATATAGTTAACATGATATTTATTATATGAATAACCTGAAAAATTATCAACAAACTATGAAAATACATATTTTATTTTTTCAATTTATAAAATATAAAAAATTATTCAGCGAATTAAGTTGAAAGTTTTGATTCTAATAATTTTTTTAAAAGAATCAAAAAATATAATAAAAGAATTTTCACCTTTAAAAAAAAAACATCGAAGTAAAATGAACATAGAATTTTTATAAAAAAGAAGAGAAAAAGTATTTTTAATTAAATCTTTTTCCTTCTAAACAAAAGATTATTTCTCTTAATTTAGAAAAAATTATTCGATATGATAATATTTTGTTACATAAAGAAATGAAAGGTATTTGAGTCATCTCAGAACAGATAAAAGACAAATGGTATTGTTAATACTAATACTTACAGTCCTTTGTAAAGCAGAGTTTGATCTTAACCTTGATGACCATTCATTATTTAATCAATTCCAAGCTAAATACAATAAAGTCTATGAAACACCAAGTCAAAAATTATATAGATTCTCAATTTTTAAAGAAAGAGTTAAATTAATTAGACAAAGAAATGCAGAAAGAACAAGAGAATCAGATGCAATCTTTGTAATAAATGCATTAACAGATTTATATCCAGCAGAGTATGGAGTAGTTCCACCTATTCCAATTGATATTTCTAAATTAAAAGGATATGATGACCATTACAATAGAGATTATAATGAACCACCACCTTTACCAGAAGGAGATATACTTCCAGTATATCATACTTATTGTGGTAAATATGTTGTTAATAATACGAAAAGAGATGCAGTTGATTTATGTGGAAAACAATTTAATCAAGGGTCATGTGGTTCATGTTATGCAGCATCAACAGCAAATTTAGGACAATATCTTTATGCCAATATTTCATATTATTATAATGACAAAGATATTAATAAAACTGTTAAACCATTATTCACACCACAACGTTGGATAGATAAAGCAATTCCAGGAGGAACTAATCTTCAAATTAGTAGGAGGTGTTGTGGAGGAAATCCAATGAATATTCTTGATGCTGAACCATCATATTCACTTGAATCAGATTATCCATATATCGATGGATCAGGATCAACAAGCACATCATGTTCACCACGAGGAGATCAAAATCCAAATGTTAAAATTCAAATGAGAAATGACCATTACCATGTTTTTGCCGTTACAGGAACTCATGAAGAAAAAGTATTGACATTAAAAAAGATTCTTCATCATTATGGACCTATTTCAACTGCTATTTACAGTAATGCAGACGTTTTATTTGCAAATGCAGGAAGTGGTATTTATACATTCCCATCAACATGTACTGACACTACTTCAACAGATCATCAAGTTATTCTTGTTGGTTATGGTAAAGAAGATGGAAGAGAATTCTTTATTATGAGAAATTCATGGTATGATGGTTGGGGAGATGGAGATAATTATTTAAAGATATCAACTGATGTTTTGTGTGGAATTGGTCAAAAGATTGGTGATTATATTATTCCATTAAATTACATTGTATTTGCTGGTAATTGCAAGTTAGATAAAAATTGTAATTCTTGTGATGAAAAAACATTAGTGTGTTCTTCTTGTAAAGAAAATACTACTCTTGATGCAAGAGGAATGTGTGTTGGTGAATGGGAAGATCCTTATGCTAATGTTGATGATGGGTCTGTTTCAATTCTTTTGAATATGAGTATTCTCCTTATACTATTATTCTTTATGATTTAAATTAATTTCTTTTAATGATCTGTTTTGTTTTATATAACGAATATTTCTATTTATTTTAACATTCATTACAATAATTTAAAATATACTTCAGAGAATTAAATAAATTTTGTATCGGTTGATTTGTATTTAGATTTCTTATCTTCTAGAAATAACAAAAAAATTTAAGTTCTTTTGTCCTATTTTATTTAATAGTAGAGATGTATTTAAAATCAAAAGTAATCAATTAAGTATTAATAGAATTGTCCTCTAATGTTCCTTGTTTCAAGGAGGAGATCAATCTAACAGTATTATTACAATACAGAAAAATGTATATTAAAAAAAACAAAAAAAATATTTAATTAAATAACAAAAAAAAATTAAATTATTTTAGACCAAGATAATACAATAGAAGAGATATCAGGTCGTAGTTGACAATTTGGATTAAGCATTTGTGTTAATAAATCTTTCCAATTTTCTAATAAAGCAGGGAAAGAGACGTTGTTAATTGAAAAAGGAATAGAACCAACAGAACCACCACAAGATAAAATACAGGCGATAGCAAAACTAAAAACATCACCAGATTTAGTAAAAGGAAGACCATTTAAAACTTCAGGAGGAGTATAAATAGAGGTAGTTAAAAGAGTAGGAATCCAATAATCAGATAATTTACCATTACCAAAAGAGTCAACAACAAAAGAGTCTAAAGTAATGTTTTGATGAATAAAATTATTTTTATGTAATTCATCTAAACCTTTAGCAACATCTAATAAAATATTAAGGATATTATCAGAAGAACAAATAGTATGAAAATGGTCAGTCATAATAATTAAATTTGGATGAATACAACATTTTTTAATTGGAACAAGAAAATTAGATATTTGAGAGAATTCAAAACGATTAATAATTTCTTTAGATAAAGTAAAAGAGAAAGGAGGATATTTGTTAATTGTTAATTCATTTTCAGTTGTAATAATTAAATCATCACTACAATAAATATTATCTTCATTGCTAATAAATGATACAGGTAATTCAATATAATCATTTTCATTTTGTCCAATTAATATATCAATTGTTGCTCTTGAACATAATGGAATTACATTTATTGAACATTTTTGTGTTGATCTTGGTGGAATAAGGATTTCAGTTGTTTCTACATTAATACAACATTTATGAGAATTAATAAATAAAGTAATTGAATTTGATTCTCTATTTGTAATAAAAATATTAAATATTTGATTTTCACAAACATTTCCATTTAATTGAATTTCTGATGGTGAAATAGTAAATGATGTTCCACTTATTCCTGTTTCTTGTAATGCTTTATTATAACCATCTAATAAAATTATTAATATAATAATAAATATTAATATTCCAATTGCAATACAACATAATGTTAATATCATATGATTTGTATCAAGACTAACCATACAATTATTATTATAAAATATATATCCCTTTGGACATGAACACTGTTGTCCTACACAATATTCTTTTAATGTTTCTGTTATATTGATCATTATTTCTTGTTTTATGATTCCTTTTTCATTTGTATTTATTGCTCCTCCAATAAATACATATCCACTTCTTATTCCAACACTCCATCCTGCAAATTGTGATGAAATATTTCCACTATACTCCCATAATTTTTTAAATCTAATTGGTTGGTCTGTAAGATAATAATCATAATATAAAATTGCTCCTCCACTATTATAATTTATTCCTTTATTAGTAAATGGTGTTCCAATAATTATAAGACTTCCATAAGTATAAATAAGTTGTGATCCAGTTGGATTGTATAATACTGAATTATTTATTGAATTATAAAATGGTATTATTATTGTTTCTCCATTTTTATAAAAATCATTTGGTGAATTAACTTGAAGTCTATTTAAACCTGTAATCGGTGCATAAAGTACATTAAATTTATTCATTCTAATTGGGTCATAATTAAATGTTTCTGAATATGGATATGAAACACTACCGTAATAATATAATTCTCCTTTTGTTTTATCTATTTCATATAATTTGACATTAGTTCTATTTCCTTTTACAGCAATCATTTCATTTCCTCCACTAATTGATTTCCCACACCAAATATTAGTTGAGAGTTGATGTTGGAGATGAATATTATATTCATTTAATAACGAGTTTTTACATAAAAAGATTATATCTCCTTGTTTTCTATGGACAAGAGTCATATCACTATCTTTATCAAAATCTTGTTCTCTTGTCGTCACTAAATATGCTGGTTGGTTTGAGATATCATATATCTCAAATACTTTATTATGAACAGCTATTACTGTTGTATTCGATTGAACTACATTGGGTCGTGTTATCCCTTCTCTTGTTGTTAACGTTAATTGAATTGTTTCTGCAAATGGTAATATTCCATCTAATGAATATGAATTAGAATCGTTTATTAAATGTGATGTTATAAATGTATATGGATACTCTCCATACTCATCAATGTATGTATGAATAATAACTCTATTCATCGATGGATTAAATGTTACATTAACTAATATTGCAAATGAAACACTTAAAAGAAGTAAATAAATCATGTTTTTTATTTTTATTTTAAAGTTCTTTTTCTTTTCAAAAAACACAAAAATAATTTTTTTAATTTTTTTTTTTAAGAATTTTTTTTAAGAAAGTGAATGATGTAGAAATAAAAAAAACAAAGGACGTTGTGATAAGATGGATCTCAATATCTTTCAGTTGATTTATGTTGTCTTTTTTTATTTGTCTTTCGTTAGTATTTGCAGAAGAAAGTTATAAGTATTATGTTCATCAAGTAGAACAGGGGTATCAAGTCATTTATAAACTTAATAGTTGTTTATTTGAAGCTAAAGGAAGGTATATCCAATTTAGTTTAGATAGTAACTCTGATCAATCAAACCGAGTTGTTCTTAAAAAAATATATAGTGACAATGGATGCACGAACAAAGATGGGAAAGAGGAGGAAGGTACTAAAATTTTTATTGATGATTTTAACACATTAAAGGATACTATCGACTTCTCTCCAATTAACAGCAAAATTCTTTCTTCATGCAAGGATAGTGGAGAAGATACAATTATTTATAACTATCCTATTGAATGTACTCAAGACTTAAACAGTTATTACAAATATAGTCAAGACGATACTAATACCATTTATAGACAAACTTATTTTGATGATAAATGTGAATCCCTCTTTTATAATGTCCCTACAATAAAAAGTTGTAAATGTATTTCTTTTGATAAGAATACTTTTGTTGAATTAGTTACATGTCCATCTGAACTAACTTGTAAGGAATTTCAAATAAAGAAAGATGGAGAATGTCATTGTATTGAAAATTATAGAAAATTAGAAGATGGTTCATGTGAATATCAATGTTTTGGTAAAGGCATTAAAGTGAATGAACAAAATAATGGATGTGATTGTACTGATGGATATACTGCAAATGGTCCTCAACGATGTACTTTGGTTTGTAATAACAATTTTGTTCCCAATGAAGAAAATGACCAATGCATATGTGATTTAACAAAAGGATATACTTTGGTAGATGGAAAATGTATTAAAAATGAAGAGAAAGAAACTACTAACACAACAACAATATATATTGTAGCAATCATTATTTTATTGTTAATCGTTACAATTGGTATTGTTGCTTTCTTCTGGTACACTCGAAAACCACGTTCAGTCCATTCACAAAATAGAGGTGATAATAATGATGCTTTCTCAGTTGCCTTGACAGATGAATTAGATTTAACACAACAATCACAATCACGAAATGCTTAAAAAAAATTAAATCTCATTTTTTTTATCTTTTTTTTCAATTTTCTTCTTTTAATTTTTAGAATAAAAAAATAATAGTTGTGTAAATTAAAGCATTAAAGTAGGATAAGTTTGATCAAATTTTAGTCGTTGTATTATTTGTGGTTGAATTTCTGTAATTCTGATTGATGACTGCTCTATTAGGACAACTGGAACAAAAGGACTCTGTGCTATGATTGAATCGTTGGTGATGTTTTAGGCTTTTAATCTCATTTAATACTTTTTAACTTTCTTTTGATCAAAATTATAACAACCAAATTCAGGTGTTTTAGTTGACTGAATTTCTTTTATTTTTTAGTGTAACTTGTTTCACTTAGTTTGGCTCAACTTATCTAGTAACAAAACAAAAAAATAAACAATAAGATTGTAATCATTTGTCTTTGATTAACGAAGGAAAAAAATACTTTTTAAGATATGATTTTTTATCTATTTTTTAAGTTCAAAGAATAAAATTATTAAAAATAAAACTAACTTAATAAATGTGTTATTCTTTTTTATATTGATAGTTGAAATGTTAAATTCTTTATATCTCCTGGATTACCAACACAATCGCTAGACTCTTGCATACTCAATAAACAAGGATTTTGTCTGGTAAACCCACACTTACATAAAGTTCCAGAACTACACCTCATTATAAATCCTTCACTATAACCATAACACCAAATAAAGAGAGTATCATCTAAACAATAAAACCCATCCACTTGTCTGTAACATAATGAATCATTTGCATCTGAGATTAAAATAAATAAAAAGAAACTAAGAAAAAGAATTATCATTTCGTTTTGTTAAAAATTAATTTCTCTTAAATCATGATTGTCTTTTTATTATTTTAAAATAAAGAAATCATGTACACATTACATTTAAAAAAGAAGTGAATTAAATAAAACAACAAAAAAATACCTTACTATTTAAGCAAAATTAGCAAATAACTTTTCATATTCATTATTGATTCTAATCATATAATTAATGTCATAATCTTTTTCTTCAGGCCTTCCTCTTTTTTCAATATTTTCTTTTTGCATTAATGGATCACTACAAAATAGTAAGAATAATGCACTTTCTGATCGTCTCCAACATTGTAATGTTTGTTGTTTAACAATTTGAAATACTCCATCAATGGAATGTTTACAACTATCTATCTTAGTAAAAACACATTCATGATATTTTGGGATATTATAACATTGATATAACTCTTCTGTTTTTATTTTTAAATCACTAAACTCTTCTTCAGTGATTTTACCTTGAAGATAAGATTCTGTTGCAAAAATGTTAATAGAATCAGCAGGACTTCTTTCCATAATAACATATTTCATATCCTTTGCCTTTTCCAATTGTTCTCGATAACAATCAATAATAAATAATTGGAATTGATATATAGAACCTTTACCTTTCAAAGTTTCTTCAAGCATTTTTTTTCCAATATTGGGTTTAAAGTCAATGCATTCTTTAATAAATGTTCTTTCTTTTTTTGGTAGGCTTTTCTTTAATCTATGAATTAAAGTAGATTTACCTACTCCTACACCACCTGTGATCATAATAAATTGTTGGTATTTCATAATACCGTTATTTAATGATTTCAAGTTCAGATATTGTCTTTTCATCTCATCTTTTTCTCTTTTACATTTTGTATTTTTGGAAAATTAAAATTTTTAGGGTTAGAAACCCTTCTATTTTTTTAAAAAAGTAAAAGAAAACTTTAATTTTACTGTATCATAATTTTTTCGATTTATTATTATTTAACCTAAAAATAAAAAAATTAATTTAGTGAGAATAACACAAACTTATAAAGTTATGTTTAAATAACAAAATTAAATAAAAACTCTAAAATTATTATAAACCAATATAAAGTAATCTGAGTAATAACTTTTTTATTCCGTTAAAGTCAAATTTCTCTCTTTGCAGATTTCATTATCGTTTTAACAGATAATAATATTAAATTTGTACTAAACAATAAAGAGTACAACAATGCCTATCATCGTTTTTTTCTTTTAAATTACTGTTCAATTAGTATTATCTCTGTTCTAAAAGTAAAAAAAAAATGAAATAATATAATAGTTACAAAGAAGAATTGCTTATAAGTTTATTATTAAAAAAAATAGTGTTTAGAAGTTGATGTATTAAAAAGAGAGTATAACAAAAGATGAATTGAATAAATACAATTAAGTCATAACTTTTGTTAACAAATAATACAAGATTGTTTTTTCTTCTTTTTAGATAATTTTTTCTTCTTTTTAGATAGTTTCTTTAACTTTTCTTCTGATAAAGAGGAAGAAGAAGTTGAACTAATAAGAGTCAAATTTAAAGGAGCAGAGTCCGATAAGTTAGATGAATTATTTACTTTTAGTTTAAAACTTTCACTGGAATTAAAAGTAAATTTAAGTAAACTAGGAGAAGAGACATTAGAGTGTCTTTTATAAACTCCCATTAATTCACGATCTCTTTCTGCTTTTTCTTTTTCTTTAAGAAGGTTAATAAGTAATTGTTTATAATAAATAGAAGAATATTTAAATTCAAAATAGGGGAGTGGAACATCTTTTTTAAAATTGAAGACCATTGCTTTTTCAAATATTTTAATAAATTCATTAAAGCTAAGAAATCCATCTTTATCATCATCTAATTTACTAAAAAGAGTCCTTAAATTTTTATAAAATGGTTTACTGTTTTTATCAATTTTTGATACAAATGTTTTTGTTATAGAGAAGTCAATTCCTTTTCCTCCTATATTAAAAGCATTAAAAACTAAATTAAATAATGCAACCATTTTAGCATATTCTTTATCTTCAAATAATTTACTTGCTTCATTTAAATATGTTTGGAAATATTTAAGATGAAGTGAACAATAAATAAATTCATTAATAGTAAAATAATCAACACTTGTTCTATGAAAACAATTAAAAATTGATCGTATTGGTAATCGATTTATATCCATTCTTATTAATGCACTAATTCCATCTGTTGTAAGTATTCCTAATATTTCTCCATGTTCTTCATCTGTAATTCCATCAGCAATGACTTTAATTAATGATATTAAAGAATCATCAGTATTATCATAAAGAATAAATGACCAATAATTAAATAATATTTGTTCAAAAATATTATAATCGATAGGTACTTCTAATGATGTAAATAAATGAATTGTATCAAGTAATGATGTAGCTTCATTAATAGATGCACTTTGTTCAAAAAAATTAAAATCTTCTTTTCTTAAAAATGTTCCAGCACCAGTTCTATCAAATTTGTCAAAGAAGTATTTTAATAAAGTACGAATATATCCCATTTTATTTTCAGTAGTATCAACTGTTACATATTTTTTATTAATATAATTTAAATCTTCTCCTATTGATAAAAGACGATTTTTTGTTAATCGTTCTTGTTTAGGAGAAGTACAATTTAATAAGAAAAACCATTGTAATTTTGGAAATTCATTAATTAATGGTTTAATTTGGTATGCATTTCCATTTTCTTCATTTTCTTTTTTCAATGAATTAATAGCTTTATGTCTAGGGATGATAAAAGTTTCAACAGAAAGGACACCTACTGGTTGAGATTGGTTGAGGATCTCTCTGTCTTTTAGTTTCTTAAAGTCATTAATTGTACTAGATTTACTAATTCTTTTCCTTGTTATTGTTAATCCATCTGAAAATGTAATAGAAGTATCATTTTGAACTGGTTGAATATTAAATTTAACACGAGTAATTTCAGGTCTTAAATTTGATATTTGAGTATCAGATTTTGGTATAATTTCTTCCACAATAACTTTTTCGATGACTGAACAATCTTTAATTGGTGATTTTTTTTCATTTTGTTCTGATTCTTTTTTTTTGTCGATTGTATTCATATAGTTCTCAAACAATTGTATATAGTCCATGAATGAACAGTTTATTTTATACAGAGATATTTTTTTTAATCTTTCATTTTTATAAGAAAGTAGGTTTATTTTTCTTTTTTTTTGTGGTTTAATTTTTTATTAATGTTCTAAGTCATTATTATTGAAAAGATAACTTTCGTTATCTTTCTTATATTTAGCTTCTTTTTAATTTTCTTCTTCACTGATTTTTGAATTATTGACTATGTATATCACTGACTCTTTTAATATTTAACCATTGTTTAATACCTGTTGTTTTATTTCCTTAATTGGACTTTATTGGTTGGTTTGATGAAATAAATATTACCTATCTTTTTGTTAAACTCACTTGGACTTTTCCTTTTATCACAGTTCACTAGAATGAATGCAATGAAAGAGTTGAAAAATAAAAATGGTTATTCTGATTTTATATGAAACGGTTGAAAGATTTCTTCATTATTTAATTTATTCATTGTTTTGTTTTTCTGAATTTTTTGTTTTGAAGTTAGAAATGGAATTGTTGACATAAAAAACAATTCATTATTAATAGAATTTTTTACATTTCATTTTCAAAATGAAATTTCAATATTTAATAATAAAAATTCATATTAAATCCTTTTTATTTTTTTTTAATTTTTGTTATTTCAATAACTAAAACAATAACAAATTTTTATTTGTACTAACAAAGAAGGAATATTATTTTAACAAAATTATAGTTATTTATGAATTAAAAAAAAACGAAAAGATATTTTTCCTTAAATTTGCTGTTGTTTTTAATAAAATAAATTTTTCAATAGTTTTTAATATTTTAAAAATAAAGAATTTGTTATTTCTTCTCATAACAGATGGAAAAACTAGATTATTTTAACTTAATGAATTAATTTTAAATTTAAATTTATACGAATAACAAATTATTATTATAAAAAAGTGTTTATTTCTATATATTAATTACTCTATTTGTTATGTTGTTAAATGAACATATCTTTTTGTTCAACCAAGTACCTCCTTCTTTTGATAGTAATGATACGACAGTATAAAAGTTAATGTATGTTAATAACCCTTTCTTCACAAAATTTTAAACAAAAGCA